CATGGAGGTATACACATGGCACCCATTAAGGGTGGGGGGCACGGTACAACAAACACTCACCTAGAAGTCAACAAATGGGTGAGGGGACATCAATTGGCCCAGTAAAGAGAGAAGCTGATATCAATAATCGAATACAGGCTTCTCCAGATTTTACCTTCAGGTTGCCCGGTTGGGGATCCAGGGCACACAGACATCACACACTAAGTAGCTGGGGACGCTGCCTCAGCTTGCCACCAAGTTCCTTGACACTTAGTTTAGTTCAGGTAAAGTTAAATAGGTAACATTCAATAAAAGTTGCCCAATTTGAATCCATACCTTTGTTGTCTGTCTCGTTATTTCAGGGGTTAAGGGGCAAGGGACTCTCCACACCAACACAGTTGGTGGGGAGAGCGATTTGCCCCACCCCCTGAAGGGAGAGAATGGGAGGTTCCATTTAGAACCTCCTAGAAGGAGGGCGGGGGCTGGCTTGTCACATGAGCCAGCCTCCCTCCTTCAGTCTTGTCCAGACTTTCTGCCCGCCACTCCCGCCCATTGACAGTATAATGTTGGTTGCCCGTTGGAGCCGGGTAGGAATTTTTTGCCTCTCATGTTCTGGGGGGTTTTTTCGCCTACCCTATACTGTTATTAGGGGCTAGATGGAGTGGTTTGGTTTAAATAGGCCAGCGTAAATAGTTCAGGAAAACACTGACATGGAGGTATACACATGGCACCCATTAAGGGTGGGGGGGGGGCACTGTACAACAAACACTCACCTAGAAGTCAACAAATGGGTGAGGGGACATCCATTGGCCCAGTAAAGAGAGAAGCTGATATCAATAATCGGACACAGGCTTCTCCAGATTTTACCTTCAGGTTGCCCGGTTGGGGATCCAGGGCACACAGACATCACACATTAAGTAGCTGGGGACGCTGCCTCAGCTTGCCACCAAGTTCCTTGACACTTAGTTTAGTTCAGGTAAAGTTAAATAGGTAACATTCAATAAAAGTTGCCCAATTTGAATCCATACCTTTGTTGTCTGTCTCGTTATTTCAGGGGTTAAGGGGCAAAAAGATGAATTAAAAAGGGGAGTCTCTTCTATACAAGAGGGGAATCATGTGAAGAATCACCATACTTTTTATGATGTGAAAAAGCAATTCAAACAGCACAAAATACAAGTAAACACTTGCTTTTTCCTTTAAAATGTCTAAAATAGGAAATATGTGGCATCATTCAAATCTCTGATGATTAGTTTGAAACGCCATGTGGATTGGACGAGCCCTTCTTTTAAGTAGCTTGATTTTGAGCCATTTTGGCCATTGTTCTAGAGGGGGGTTTTTTGTATGTATTTATATGTGATGTCATTTTTTTCCAATTGTTTAGTATTATGCAATGATAATAAAACAATACTAGAACTTATTTCCATTTTTATCATCATAATATCTTCTAATTTACTTACATATTTACATTGCCGCCACATATTTTGATATGTTCCCACTTCTTGACATCCCCTCCAACAAGTTTTCAAGTGATTTTTTTGTTAATGTTGGCTATTTTTACTGGTGTTAGATACCATTTCCATATTAATTTATAATAGTTTACCTTAATACATATTGATAGGTTTTTTAAATGATTCTGTTCCCATACTTGTGTCCATTCCATATTACTTATTTTAATTCCCAAAGCTTCTTCCCATACCTTCTTGAGAGTGTTATTATTTGTTTTCCTCTTTAATTTTGAGTATTATCTTATACCCTTTGCTAGTTATTTATTTATTTACTGTATTTGTATACCACGGTTTCCATCAAATCAGTGTATATACATCTGGCAGCCATCCACAGAGATTATGAGGACCTCAGATGCCTGCAATAGATGCAGGTGAAATGTCAGGAGAAAATGCTTCTGGAGCATGACCATACAGCCCGGAAAACTCACAACAACCCATATTTCTAATAGTTAACAATGTATCATCAGCAAATAAATTCACATTCTGTTTTCTCTCTATACCTATCACTTCTAGCCTTTTATCTCTCCTTATAGCTTGTGCTATGCTAATAATATAAAATAATATAATATATTGTATATACATATAATATTTATAATATATTCTAATGCAATATAATAGTAATACTAATAATATTATATTATAATTTTATATTTTATATTACATGTAATATTACTAATAATATTACAATATAATGGTATAATACAATATAGTAATATATAATACTGATATTGTACTATGCTGATAATATAATATATTGTATGTTGTAAGATATTCTGAGTCCCCTTCGGGGTGAGAAGGGCGGCATATAAATGTCGCAAATAAATAAATAAATAAAACATTTGCAAATATCTCTATTGCCATTGAAAACAATATCGGTGATAATGGGAAGCCTTGTCTTGCTCCTCTTGTCACTTTTATTTCTTTTGTTATTCCATCAGTAATTTCTACTACCACTGAGTTATTTGAATAATATTGTTCTATTAATCCCTTTATTTTGTTTTCCATTCCAAATTTATTCATAATTTTTTGTCTGCTATTGCACACAATCAAATACTTTATATATATCCCATGCTAAAATCCCCACTTTTATATTTCTCTCTGTCCAATACTCTTTCAATCAGATTTGGCATCTGTCTTCCTTTTACAAAATCACATTGATCCACTTTTATATATTTATACATAGATTTATTTATGCTATTACCCATTATTGCTGATAATATTTTTGCATATTGATTAACTAATTAAATAGGCCTGTATGAATCTGGGTCTGTTGGGTCTTTATCAGGTTTTTGTATTAATATTTTTAAGGATTTTCTCTATAAGTCTGGTATTTTCTCTCCAATCAATATTTTGTTATACAGCTTTATTAATTTTGGAACCAATATTTCTCTAAAGGTTTTATAATATTCAGAACTGGTGCTTTCCCAATTTTTAAGTTTTAATAGCTTCCTCTATTTCAGACCTCTGAATAGGTTGCACCAATAATTCTATACCTTCTCCATTTTTACTTCCCAATTTTCCTCCACATTTTCCATACTTTCCTCTAATTAACTAGCCCTTGATTGGTGCAATTCCTTATGGAACTCTTCAAATATCTTCATTTTTTATTAATTTACTTTATTAATTTTATTAATTTCTGCCCGTTTTATCTTTTATCTTGTTTATTATACTTTCCATTTTCTTTTTTCGTGTGGATCTGGCCAGAATTTTTGAATTCCCGTTACTATATTCAAAATATTAAATATATCAAGTTTTTTTTGTACCTCATTGATTTCATTTTTTTAAAATTCTTTTTTAGCTTTCAATTTTATGTATGTTTGTATATGTCCCTTTATTATATACTCCTTTTTCAACTCTTCTATAGCTTTTTCTAAATTAATTTCCCTTTATTCTTGTCTTTTTTAGGTTAATTGTCACTTGTATACATAATTACCACCACTTTGATTGTATCCCACAATACTCCTTTTGACATGTCCCTTCCATTCAATCCCCAAATTTCTTGCCATTCAACTCTTCTTCTATCCATTGTGTCTTTATAATTAAGTATCTTATTCAAACTCTACCTTCTCCTTTTATCAAATTCCACCTTCTCATTTTATCATAATCACATTTTAAAACAACTTCCATAGACACCAAAGCATGATCAGAAACCTTGATATTTCCAATATCAACATTTAATAATTTACTTAACATATTTTTCAAGCAAAAAAGTAATCAATTGTTGCATATTTTCTATGTACAACTAAGTAATATGTATATTTTTCCTCTCCCTTTATTACCCTCTATACATCTTTGATTTGCCATTTATTCATA